AAAAGCATCAATTCTTCGGCGATCAGCCTTCTTTATGGTCCAGCTTTCATTTCCATACATCACTACTGGGAAAACCATAGCTTTTACTATATGGACCTTTGTTGGCAAGGTGATGTCAAAACTATTAACTCTTCTTCTAGAGACCAGCAAACAAGGCCAGCGTTCTTTCTTTCTTTTTCTTTCTTTTAAATCTATATAGAGATCACACATGAAGACTACTTTGTATATCACGATAATGACATAATTGTACACCAAATCTGTACACGATGTACACTAAAATGGTATATCATATTGTGCAATGAAAAGAAACTGCTTGGTCTTCAAAGGGGTCATCAAGAATCCCTCGGCCACGTATTTCCATTGACTTTGTCCCTCAATTTTCTCCCCACTTAGGCATCTTCTACTCGCCCACAGCTGAGTACATGTGCGGTGCCAGGAAATAATTAAATAATTCAACCCAAACCCAGAAATGGCGAGGGAGAACTGGAGAGTCCTTGTGGCTTATGAGGAGAACCTCCCCAGAGCCCAAAGAGGATGTCAGTGAGGGTGGAGGAAGCCTCAAAGAGACCTGAGGAACAGCAGGGCTTTGTTTAGGCTGCTCAGCCCTCCCTGCCTAACAGCTGATGTGTGGGGTAGCACAGCAGCAGCAGCAGCCACCTTCCCATGTGTCCTTCTGCTGGCCCCAGAGATTGAATTCTGGGGGTTTTTTTGGATACAGTATTTTTGGTTTGAAGAGAGAATGATGGAGAGGGCATTTAAAGGGTCCTCCTCACTTTACATGATTTCACTTATGTGTGCGGGGGGCCCAGAATGTAAACCTCACATGAGTTGGGGGGATGCCTGCACCAACATTTATTTAGATAGCTGCCTGGAAAAACTGTCTGCGGACAAACATCGGCTCCCTCGGCCAGTAAAGCGAGATGAGTGCTGCAATCCCATAGTCCTTTGCGACTGGACTTAACTGTCAGGGGTCCTTTACCTTTACCTTTTTATATGCATTGCAGAGGCACAATTAGCAGCAATAAGAGACATGAGGAGTCCTCACACAGGAAGGTGCATTTGACTCTGTTCTGCTTTGTTGTAGAATTAATTTTGCAAGGATAATAATATTTTCTGGGTAATGGCACATTTGTGAGAATTATTAGTTCCATTACACTTTCTCCTAGTCCCTCCACTACACAGCCTGGAATGTTCTTCTGAATACAAACCCATTTGGCATCCCATGGTAGATACTACTCCAGTGAGTATCCCACTACTGAATTTAGAGTACATATTTGATCCACAGTGATTCAAAAACTGAGCAACAGTGAGCAAAGTGTGTTTTGCAGATTTGGGAATTTCCATGCCTACATTTATGAGCTTCCTTTATCTCATTCCCTAGAAAGTTCCACATTTTCTCTCAAGCCTAACAAAACTGACAACTCATTAATCATTTCTAATTATATGCTGTTTGGGAGAGAAATTTCTCTGTACAAATCTTTATGCCCACAGAACTAGTTCATAATGATGCATTTATTTCTAGTCCCTTATTACGATTATTTTTTTTAAATAAAAAAAATCAAGTAATCCACACTTTACCATAATTGTTATGATTGACCAGTTGTTTTCATTTCAATCATTCATTTTTAAGAGGGGGGAAGACTACTGTTTGACTAACTGTCAAGAAGTTATGCTTCGTTCTTTAATGTTCCTTGCAGAGCTCTCCAGCAGAAACACTTTATAATAAAAGCAGTAATAAGTACCATTTTCACAGCAGGGAAAAGAATGTTCATCTTCAAAAATGGGGTATTAATAAAATGTTATCATAATGAGCAATCTAATTATGGTCACAAAGTACTACACAGTTGCTGGTATAATTATTTGTCACTTGGAGGGTGTTAAAGCCTTTCCCCATCCCCCACCCAGTCCCTCTTCACATGCTTTTTGTTTTGTGTGTGGCTGTGTTTGCAAGTCATAGTAAACCGTATGTAATGCTGTAATGGGAATACAGAATTAGCTCTGACTTCCCACCTCCTCTAGCACAAATGGGAGCACCAAAGCATAGAATCATAGAATCATAGAGTTGGAAGAGACCACAAGGGCCATCGAGTCCAACCCCCTGCCAAGCAGGAAACACCATCAGAGCACTCCTGACATATGGTTGTCAAGCCTCTGCTTAAAGACCTCCAAAGAAGGAGACTCCACCACACTCCTTGGCAGCAAATTCCACTGTCGAACAGCTCTTACTGTCAGGAAGTTCTTCCTAATGTTTAGGTGGAATCTTCTTTCTTGTAGTTTGGATCCATTGCTCCGTGTCCGCTTCTCTGGAGCAGCAGAAAACAACCTTTCTCCCTCCTCTATATGACATCCTTTTATATATTTGAACATGGCTATCATATCACCCCTTAACCTCCTCTTCTCCAGGCTAAACATGCCCAGCTCCCTTAGCCGTTCCTCATAAGGCATCGTTTCCAGGCATTTGACCATTTTGGTTGCCCTCCTCTGGACACGTTCCAGTTTGTCAGTGTCCTTCATGATGCTTAATTAGCCATAGCTCTCAATTCAGGATAGTGGTTTGCGTTACTCAACCACAGCCAGGAAATCAAATACAAACCTTGGTTTCACACCATGTTTTCCTTGGAGTGAAACAAACCAAAATCTCCGGTACAGACATAATGCCAAGGCAGGTACCATGGTTTGTTGCTTCCACTCACACTAGATTAGGAGCATAATGGGAGCCAACTGCAAATTCACAATGAACTATTAACTATCGTTTACTGTGATATGTAAACACAGCCAGTGTGTGTTCTGCTTTTGAGATAGACGTCTGCTTTTACAAAAATGAAAACACCCTTTTTGTTGTGTTCCCATTTTCTGTCCAAGTTATTTTCATGCATCTGGCTCATCAGATCAGCAACTGACAAATGATGCATTGCAGGAGAATAATGAAACTCTTCTGTTATTCAGATGGCTACAGGCACCCAAATCATGTGTTTAGATGGTATTCTTGGTTAGCCTCTGGAAATTTGGCAAATGCAGTCTGCCCCACACAAGTGCAACAACAGTCCTGCTCCCCCTACTCTCTGTTCAGGCAGACTACCGTATCTGTTATTTCATACGTAATTAGAAATACACATCCAAGTCGGAAGATGGCAACTGAGAATATATCATGGAGACATAGATTAGTTGTACTGTATTTTATCTTATTAGTTATCTTTATTTACTTGTTTATGTATTAGAAACTTTATATTAGAACTTTATTTTACAGTTGTCAAGGCCAGTGGCTAATAAAACAAATATATTGTTGTTTATCATGATTAGTTAGAAGTGGGGCAGAGAGTACCCTATATTCTTACTTCACCTATGGAGACACTTTTGAGAGCTGTTTAGTATAAATGTTCACTACTTGTGCAAAGCAAATGAGAATACAGAGCTGTCGCATGGACTGTTAAAATTATCTCACTATATTCTTCTGCACAGGGTGAAAGCATAAACAAGTCAGCAACAACACCTAATCAAATCTATTACTCTCAAAACAGCAAAAACAAACAAATGAACAATATGATTTTCAAAGTTTCCAGGGATCTAAAACAGCAGTGGGGAACACCCCAGTCTGTGAACCAAATCAGCCCAGCAAAGATCATATGGTTTGTTGTCAAATGCTTTTTCTCCCAAAGCACAGTCACCTGATCCACACCTGACACCATATGGGTCATATGAGTCACCATATGGCTGTATAGGAAAAACCAGGAACCTTAAAGTGCTCTCTCTATTGTTCCTTGTGTTGCGTTGATTTCCACTTTCAATCCTCATTGCCCAACCTACACAGAGAACGTGGAAGATGTCAGAGTTCATTTCCATCACAAGTATGAACCATGGCAAAAAGGCAGAAGTAGGGAACTATGTGTTTATACACAGCTTGGACAATGTCTCATAGTGATGAAGAGCAAATTAGCCATTCATACTTCAAGGGAAAGGAAATATAAATACCTATATAACCAAATCTGTTTCTAAATTGAAAGGAGGAGGGAACCACCCCCCCATGTATTCTTCCTAGGTTATCACTATCTACTATGTCAGATGGACACACAGGTAACAACATATATATCCTTATTTTAAAAGGCTGGAAATCAGATATAAAAGGCCCTCTGATTTCTGGCATTTACCAGAAGGAAGCTGTCACTAGTGGATTCACATAAGTGACACCTGTGAATCATGAAGCAAAACACATACAGTATATGGTCGGAGCACAAAATGTTATTTCAAAGTCATCCTTGATAGCTCTGATTGACCAAGAAATACAAAGAGTCAGAACAAGATGACAAGCATTCCTATTGCTGAAAGAAAGATTGTTTGTGTTCACCAAAGTGCTTAACTACCTACAGCTCATCATTATGTAAATAAATTCTGTTTCTATAGTTTTGCCAAGGTCAGTGTCAACTTGTTTAGGTTACCTTTGATATAAATGCCTATCACACAGCATAAAATGCCAAGGGCAGCACTTTGAAAACCCAATTCATCCAAAAACCGTTGAGTGAATTTAGCTATAGCTCCCTTCTTCGTTTTAAATTCTCCTATTTTTAATGTCTGAACTTCAGTATTTCTTCTGAGAGAAGAAAGAACAATTTATACATTAATAGCAACCGAAAGTACATCAAATGAAAGTAGCAACCAAATGTACATCAAATACAGCTTCTATCCAGATTACACAAAGCAACCTGTCCACCATAAAACAGAAGAGATAAACCAACAGCTATTGTAGGGACAAATCCCAGGCACTGGGAAGGAAGATATCACCAACTGCAATCACTACACGCAACTGCACAGGGCACAACTGATTGTGATGTAATCATTATGTCAACTCAGTTTGAAAGAGAACAATTTCTAGGTGAAAAACACATCAGGGTTTTTCCATTTTCAAGTATAAATACTGTAACTCTGTAAAACATTTCCCTACAATCTGTAAAAAAACAAAAGCAAACAAAGATATTTAAAATAATAAATATATGGAAGCCACTTACCACGTAACACAGTGAGTCTTGTGGACACACTTATTTCTCCAACACTGTTGGAAGCAACACATTCATAAATAGCTTCATCTCGTGGAGTCCGTAGCGGTTGTATTCTGAGAACGGATCCAGATCCATCATCAAACTCTATTACCTATTGAAGGAAACAGGAGCTGTCACAGGTGTTGTTACAAATACCTGCCTCTCCACTAAGCCTGGGTATTTAATACATAATCTCACTAGTCTAAATTCTTCTAACATGGATATCAATGATTGATTTCATACGAGTGGAAAGGAGCAAATTTAAGAGTCATTCATATTTCTTGGCCCTAAGTAAGGGGGCTAAAATGCAAAAGATAATGCAGTTCTCAAATTTTAACTCACTATAAAACTCTCTAGTGGTGGGCTGGCCAAATTGTCATTAATATGAAAAGAAACATAAATGAGCAGTGATGTGAGCCATGTGAAGATCACCTAGCCATGGCCATGGCATGCATAGTTACCGTGACCAAATGACTGCAGGGTACTGCAGCAAAAAAAATCTGCATCACTCACATGCATATGGGGTTGGCTGGCAGCTATAATACAAAAACAGCACAACCTCCAAGGCCAGCTCAGCCATCTTCCCCAGAGAGTTTGTTTTTGTGGCTCTACAGTCTACTCCAGGCCTTCAACACTCAGAAGACATATATTTCATGTTTAAAATGGTAAGCAGGAATTAATGGATGCCTTTACAGATCATCCTCACCCAGGGACACTGAAAGGGTGTGAAACTGTGAGCATGCTGGTGTATTTTGGGTCTGTGACTGACTACAACCACATGGCAGATGAAAAATTGAATCTGGGAAACAAATGCTCAGCTAAGACCACATCGACAAGTTCTTTCATGACCTCAACCTTATTGGCCGTGCAATAATTGTCCATTGCTTTTAAAAGTGCTTGTTTAGTTTGTTTGTAAAATAACTGTATACTTCAATTTCATAAAAAAGTCAAAGAAGTTTAGAAAAAGTCAAATGTAGTAAGATCAACGCAAAACAACACAGAGATCACCAGGTGTCTATTAAGTAGCATGTTTTCTTAATTTTCTGCATAAGCCCGGTGGAAAAAAAGAGAGGCTTCAGCAAATGCTTTTAAGTCCATACAGAAAGTGTCTGTATCCAATGCTCTACTGGAAGCGTTTACAATGGGAGCGAGCTAACACTGAAAGCTTGGTTTTATGTTGAAGTCAAATGTGCTCACCAACTCAGGAGACAACCAGCAATGCTCCAACCAATGATCTCAGTGACTGAGCTGGGATATAAGAGCCAAGGTGGTCCCTAAGGCATCCTAGACCTAAGGCGTTCAGGGTTTTGTAAATTAATATAAGGACCATGAACTTCACTAAGATGTCGGTTCACTAACATCTGTTGAAATTTGCAAGCACTGGTGGGTGGGAAGCAGGAATCCCCTTACTACCCCCATACGCAGGGCTGCAACTGCAGTGGTTGAATAAGGATAGTTTAACTCCATGGAGATTTCAGGGAATTTGCTGGCTTCTCTTGCCACCTTTTAAACAAACACAGATAGAGCCATATTCCCTGTTCCTAACTTCTAGAAAACTAGGATAAATGGCAAGTTTGCCCCTGCCCTGAAATTCACTCAAGATGGAAGGGGAATCCATCCAAACTTAAACAAACGTGTGCTAAAAGGCTGTTCAAAAGAGTCAATTTAAGCTCTCCTGGGGTAATAAATAATGGATGATATCTTTTTTAGCCTTTCATATATGTTTCAGTTTACTGGGGGAAAATGCATTCTTCCCTAGACTTTGATCTGCATTTGTAAAAATTGGAAATCAGAAATTGAACAGCCACTGAAGCCTAATACAAGAGGCACTTCAATACTTAAAGGATCATGGGAAGGAAAGAGTTTGACTCACAGATCATGTACACTTCACTTCTTCATATAATGCTTGTCTAGTTCCCTGTTTCACACAATCCCTGCATAGTTTATATGTCATTGGTGTATGTGAATTAATCTTGGGGAACATGCAGCCTCCCACAGAAAGCAGCTAAAATGTTCAGATATTTTCTGGAATAGGCAAGGAAGCATAGGTAGATTGTGGGTTGCAAGATGGGAGGTAAGGATGGAGAGAAACCTCTTCTTCACCTTACTCCTCTTATTCTGCGTTGGGGTTGCAATAAAAACATAGCAAAAGCAATATAAACAAACTTAAATATTTTGCAGAGTTATACTTCTAGATCTATATCTTCCTAGACTAATGTTGTGCTATATATAAGCTAGGACTAATAAAGCATTATATGCTGCGATATAATAAAGCATTATATGCTGCCCAGGGCACAACAAATGCTTAGTAAGGCAGGCAGGATCATACTGCAATTACAGCACCTTGGATAGCTCCAAACATGCAATTTGCTCCAACAAGCTCTGGAACCCAACAATTTGGTTGGTGTGAGTAGGACTCCTGACACAGAAGTGAGTAATTAAGTTCTTGCTTAACCACTCCTATTGGATATGTATTACCACATTCTGAATCTGTTGATATTGTGAAGCACACGTATCCAAGGTAGTCAGTGTGATGTCCTCCATCTGTTGATGGACCACAACTACAACTTCTATTAGCCCCAGCCAGAACCTTTAGTTACCAGGAATGATGGGACCCCAAAACCAACAACACATAAGTTTATGTGCTTTGCCTCAACAATTCTATGCCATTTGAGCCTTGTAACAACCAGGGAAAACTCCAGATTATTATTTGAAGTTAACATGTATATAGAACATTCATCATGTCTATGAACAGAGGAGTGGGAAGGGCTGAAGGCCAAATGCAGTTCTTTGCCACACACACTGGCCCAAAACAGTTATGAATGCAAACTAAAATGATATAGCAAACATATTTGTTCCTAACCTGGTTTGCTTACAGAAGTTCCAACAACACAAGTATCAGTAACAACAACAAACAAGTATTAAAATGTGTGAAGCAGATAACATCTAGCTTTCACACAGCTGTCAATGTTGGGGTTCAGTTCTTTTTCATCTCGGGAAACTGATTAAAAGAAACACTTAAGAAGAAAGGCAGTGGAGAATACTTATTCAGATATATCATATACACATCCATAAAAAAAATTTAAAGAAAGAAAGAAAGAAAGAAAGAAAGAAAGGTATTTTCTGTTCCTTTACAGTAATAATAATCAGGACTAAAACCCAAACTTGTGATTTACACATGAATCTAAAGCTTGGGTGCAAGGAGAGGGAAATAAGTGGCTCTCAGCAATGTATGTAAGAAAATTTGCAGCAAGAGCTTCCTTTGGGATGACGTCATTAAAGTCAGCAAAGAGGGAGAAGAAAGGGAAGCAGAGAATTATAGCAATGTGGAGCAATAATTCAATAATCCCTCACTTGTTTCTTATGCAGCATTAGGCTGCCATATTGACCAGGAATATGATAAACCATATCATATAATTTAAACAATATGATTCAAGCCCACAAGAGGCCATGATGGCCACCAACTTTGATGGCTTAGAGAGGATAAAAGGATTTGAAAACCCATAGAAGATAAGGCAATCAATGACTACCAATAATGAAAATGGTCCTCCTCTTAATGGCAGAGGCAGTATACTTCTGAATTCTGGTTGGTGGAAACAACAGGAGCAAGGGTGCTGTGGTGGTTCTGCTTTCAGGTTTCCGATAGGCATCCAGTTGGCTGTGAGAACAAGATGCTGGACTAAATAGGCCAGTCACCTGATCTCAGCAGGATCTCACTATGTTCTTAAGATGCTATAACCTACTATCTACCATGCTTCTATTTATGATTTATGATTGCTTTTGTCCACATTATTGCTTGAGTATTCATTTCCTCCCACCAACCTGTAAACAACAAAGAACTTCCCAAATACTGATACAAAACATAAAATCTGAGTATGCCGGACCAATATACAGGCCATTAGCGTACATGCAGACGTGCCATCTCACATACGATGGAAGGGGATCAGCAGCAGCAAGGGGCTTTGGGGCACAGTGTACCATGCATGGGGGAAAAAGGTAAGACTGCAGAAGAGAACCACAATGCCATTCCCCAAATTGGCACACTATTACTAACATTGTGATTTTATTGCTTCTGTGATGCTGATTCCCACTGCTGTTCATCAACCCATTTCATTATCCACTACCCTTCTGAGTTCTTAACCTGACTTGAATATTTTTTCCAGTGTTTTCCCAAAATCATACTTCTAACTCTTCAGCAAAATCCACCATAGATGACATTGGGAACTGGATTTCTGCCTTCCACCGCACAGGTCATTGAGAAGCACAGCATAGCCAACCCAAGCAAGCGGAATACAAAAGAAGAATGCAGAGTAGGGATTAAAAAATAAATAAATTCATAGCACATCTCACTCTCAGTCTGGTCAGAGGTTATGTGGAGAACTGTTATAAACTGAACTGGAATTTCTCTTTAGGGAGAGATCCAAAAATGTGTGTGGGGAGTAGTTTTTGTTTTCTTCCGGTACACCAATGTAAGCATCAATGCCGCAGTTCTAATATGATAACTGTTCAAAAGAAATAGGGAATAATCAGGCGGTATTAAAGTAAATGTTTTTCAGAGGAACAGAACAATGGACCTAATACCTCAAATCTCTGATTGCTGACTTTCTTGCCCTTTTTGTTCCAGACAATCTTAGGTCTCGGGTCTCCCGTAGCTTGGCAGATGAATGATGCGACTCCCCCAGAGACTCCTATCTGGTCAACGGGTGTTCTTGTAAACTTTGGTGGTGCTAAAAAAGAAAAAGAAAAAACAGCAAAATAAATCTAAGCAAGAAATATCCAAAAGAGCATGTCAAGCTGTCAAAAGAACTAAAATAGAAATCTGTTGTTTCTCTAAAAACAGTATTAACCCTTAAAGCAAGGGAAATTAAGCTGGCATGTAGCTGGATACATTAAAATATTCCAGCACAGAAGGCACTGCCAGGTAGGAATTAATGTGTGCATGCAGATCACTGCATGTGATCATCTCATATACAGTGTACATTGGGGTGGGAACTGGGTGTCCTGCAGATGTTGTTGGACTACATCTCCCATTAACCCTGACCACAAACCCTCCCTTTAGCCATACCAAAAGGGAGACCAAATCTAACAACATTTATAGGACCATGGGTTCCCCTTCCTTAATGCACATGAAGTAGGATACTGTGTCCAATTGTGCATGTATAGTTTGGAAATTTACACAAATGTAAAATCAGCACACCGTATGATTTTTACAGATGTAAAGCATTCCTACACTTGAGTTTCTTCTATGCAGGAATTCTTACATAGAACCACAGACATCTAGAGCTGGAAGGGACCACGAGGAGCATCTCGTCCAACCGCCTGCAATGCGGAATCTTTTGCCCAACTTGGGGCTCCAACACAAGACCCTGAAATTAAAGTCTCATGCTCTACCGACTAAGCTATCCAGCAGTGTTAAGCTACCCCTAAGAGATTTTAACACATATCTATATTAACAAGGAAAAGAGCAAATATATAAGAAGAAGACGTATTTATTTCACCATTGTAACATTTTAAATTTTATAAGAATTCAAATGTCTTCTCTGTACAAAATAGACCGTAGAGCGAGCAATTTTAATCACCAAAGCCTTCTCATATCCAAATTACTGCATGCTATTGCATGTACAAAGACACCAGTAGAAGCTATTATGAAAAGAATATGTGTTCATAAACAGAGTACAAAGCCTAAAGGTTATATCTTCCTCTTTAAAATAAGTATGCACTTAAACATGTATTGCTGAAGTGAGGGACATGTTTTTCTGTCTAGGGCCACATTTCCTTAAGGGTATCTGTTAGGAGTTGCATTGCACTGCCATTCTCTACCCCCTGACACACCAGGGCCGGATTTAGGTTTGATGTGGCCCTAAGCTACTGAAGGTAGTGGGGCCCTTTATATGTCCAGCGGTCCTTTGTCAACAACAAATTGTCGCTGCTTTTTGTGTTTAATATATGCTATATGGACCTAATAGGTATATAAATCCATTTGCACATACCAAATTATGTATTTTGTCAAAGTAATTGTTGAACTGAAATACAATTAAGTAGTATATTAATATTAATATTAATATTAATATTAATATTAATATTAATATTAATATTAATATTAATATTAATATTAACAATATTATGTTTCCTTTAAAAAAATTTGGGGGCCCCAAGAGAGTGTGGCACTAAGATATAGCTTGTTTAGCTTATACGTAAATCTGGCACTGGACACACCCATATCTCACCCCCACTATAAGCTACCATAGAGCTCTCTCACCCCCCCTATAAGCTACCATAGAGAGTACAGTGGTGCCTCGCAAGACGAAATTCATTCATTCCGCGAGTTTTGTCGTCTTGCGATTTTTTTCGTCTTGCGAAGCACGGTGTCGGGAAAGTTTTGGAAAAGCTTCAAAAATCACCAAAGTCTTTAAAAACCTCAAAAAAGGCTACCACACCGCGTTCTATGAGTTGCTCCTCGAAGTCAAGTCGCAACTGTATTAACGGTGTTAAGAAAAAGGAAACAAACTTGCAAGACGTTTCCTTCGTCTTGTGAAGCAGCTCAAAAAACAAAAAAAAACCCTTTCATCTAGTGAGTTTTTTGTCTTGCGAGGCATTCGTCTTGCGAGGTACCACTGTACAAGAAACAGGGGAGAGAGGGATAGACACCCCGCCGTCAATCAAACAAAAGCTGGCAGAGGGAGCAAGAAAGAATAGAAAACAGTACAATCCATTATCTTTGAGAAATACCAAGAAGGGGGATCATTCCCTCTTACTCTGAGCACTAAAAAGTATTTTGTTCCTGTGTTTGAATATACAGTTTCATGGAAGGCTACGAGCAGGAAATCATCCGAGATGTTTAATAATTTAATGAGATCTGTGAATAAAAAATCCAGTGATTGGAACCTGAGTTAACTGAAGCTCTTGGTTAACCCTGAGGCCAAATATGCCCTCTGACAAAAAGACTGATGCACTGATATCTAACTAGGGCATGCAGATGTATGTGCTGACGAGTCCTTGAAGACAACTGCTGCAGTCTTTTCTGTTGCAGTACTGGTCAGCCTTTCAAAATCCTTTTTTTTCCCCGAGAGAGAGAGAGAGAGAGAGAGAGAGAGGCAGTGAAAGGTTCAGTGAACCCAGTACAGAGCCTTTGAAGTCTTCTGGGTTAGCTTCCTCAATGGTCCAAAGGCTTCGTGACTATCAAGGATCTACATGCTTTAGAAACATACACGTTCCTAAGACTTCCATTAACAAATTAATATTCGTTCTGCTTAAAGAAAACTGCAAAAAAGAATGAACAAAAACTACAGGGATGACTGAGTTGCTGAAAACTGTTGGCCTTAATAGGTGTTACCCAACTAGTGTTCAGAATCACCCAATGTTTATTAGTTTGTTTCTAAATGTTGCTATTCAACTGTTGGTGAAAATAAATTACCAAGGACAACGGACGAAGCAGACAAAGTAAAACTTCCTTTATTCATATTCCTTTTACCATTAACACCAATAAACCATTTGCATGTTCTATTATTGATAGAAAATGCAACTAGTTTATACTGCCGGATTATCATTTTCTTTCGTCTATACAGTGGTACCTCGGGTTAAGTACTTAATTCATTCTGGAAGTCCATTCTTAACCTGAAACTGTTCTTAACCTGAAGCACCACTTTAGCTAATGGGGCCTCCCGCTGCCGCCACGCCGTGGGAGCACGATTTCTGTTCTTATCCTGAAGCAAAGTTCTTAACCTGAAGCACTATTTCTGGGTTAGCAGAGTCTGTAACCTGAAGCGTCTGTAACCTGAAGCGTATATAACCCGAGGTACCACTGTATATGGATGAATGAGCTACCTTCCGAATTGGCTTGTCAGAATTCTTTGTAAGTTAAGGTATGCACATTCCTTCACAAACCGAATGGTCTAATAAAAGCTATCACATTACTATCAAGTCAATAGTCTCCAACTCACATATTAATGCATCACTCTTATATATGGAGGTTGTTAATCATGTCGAATACAGATTATTGTGGTAGGAAATGGTGATAATTTCTGGACATTCAGCTACCAAGACTATTAATGGCACTCTATAGCACCATTCTGCTGATTAGCATGAGAGCAGCACCAGCTGAAAAATTGGCACACATTTTTAACCTTCTTTGAACACCGAAGTGCATTGGCATAGTTCATTAAGCAAAGTTTCATATCTGCGTGGGAAAATTCCAATACAATATATTCTGCCGAACAAAACGAGACAGAAGTTGCTTCCAGTAAATTAGTCACACAGCATATGCCCCTGAGTTGACCAGGTTGAAGATCCAGCTGGGAGAGATAATGAACAAGTAAAGTTCAATGGAAATGGCAAACACTGTCCTTGTTTGTCTGATTTAATACAGACTTCTGGATGTCATAATATGCACGTCTACTACCAAACACACAACAAAGGCATTTTAAAATCCATTCATAGAGAAGGGAGAAAGGTTGTTTTTTGCTGCTCCAGAGAAGCGGACACGGAGCAATGGATCCAAACTACAAGAAAGAAGATTCCACCTAAACATTAGGAAGAACTTCCTGACAGTAAGAGCTGTTCGACAGTGGAATTTGCTGCCAAGGAGTGTGGTGGAGTCTCCTTCTTTGGAGGTCTTTAAGCAGAGGCTTGACAACCATATGTCAGGAGTGCTCTGATGGTGTTTCCTGCTTGGCAGGGGGTTGGACTCGATGGCCCTTGTGGTCTCTTCCAACTCTATGATTCTATGATTCTGTGATTCATTCATTTAACATATAACATTGGTCAATATGACATATGTTATTATTTTAAAAAACCTGAAAGGTAGGTTATTACTATTCCTATCATACAGAACTAAGGTTGGAGGCTGACACACAATGACCTATCTAGGCCACAGAGCAGAATCACCACTTGATTTAGTCTCTTTCCAACTGACACTTCATACTAACTAATGGACTGCACCAGTTTTTGGACTAATAGATGGCAACCCACAGATAATTTTATTTAGAAACACATTTTTAAAAAATGAAACTTTATTTGCATCAGCCATCGGCCACAGCAATAAAACAGCGATATAATATACAAAGAATATAAATAAAAAGTCAATCATATAAAATACATTTTAGGTTTTTGAATCAATAGTCAAATAGTGGATCTTATTCTGATTGCCCCAGCTAAAAACCTTGCAACCTTTGCTGTCACCTGTTCATCTTGATCTGCCAAGAGAAAGGACACTGTGGCAGTGGTTGGGTGACCCGGAATGGACAATAAAAGAGGAGTGATAATCTCATTCCTCAAGCCTTTATAAAGAGTGCAAGCCAGAAGGGCATGCACCACCAATTCGGTACTGGCATCTCCACAGGGACATAAGCGTTTTTCGTGTGGAATCTGTTGGAATCATCCCTCAAGTACAGCCGAGGGCAATACATTCAATCTACAGAAACACATTTAGTGAGTTGTGTATTGTGCAAAGGGCAAGAGTGAGTTGCTGTGTAATGTTTGGTACTGTAGGAGTTCACCGCAAGTACTTAGAACCAGCCCAGGGGTAACTGAAAAGTGTGAGCACTGTTAATGCATTACTCACATACATGACACTATTGTATTTGTCGTGTTAATTTATTTATTAGATTTCTATACCACCCTTCATCACAAGATCTCAGGGTGGTATAGAAAAATACAAGATAAAAGCACAAACAAATAGTTAAAACAAAAAGAACATGAATAAGGGCCTCAGTTGATGAACACAGAGTCT